ACCGGATGTGTAAAACATAACCATTGCTAAAGTTACAGGATTATTATAACTAAAGTGTATTTTACATGATTTTAAATCAATGTGTCGGATACAGATTATGATATGGGCTATAAACACTGTACGTATTCTTTATTGAGATGTTTTTACAACATTTTATCGCGGTATATCTTCAACTCTGTCGTCAACAAGGCTACTAAATGTTTCTATCTACTCTGTCGTCAACAAGGCTACTAAATGTTTCTATCTACTCTGTCGTCAACAAGGCTACTAAATGTTTCTATCTACTCTGTCGTTATCAAGGCTACGCATCGTTTCTAAAAGTCAAAACACATGACATAGATAGGTTTTGTTTTTGATTAACACACAACTTTTTCACCATTTTTATAGTTCTATTCCAGAATGAATGCAGAACCATCTAACCGATCTAGCTGGTCTGAAGAGAACTGAATTGCTTGAAACTGCAGTTCTCAGTTAGAGATCAGATTTATTGTCAGTTAATATGCTTTATTTTCACTAAGATAGATGATGTTTCATGTTTATGAAATCTAGCAGAAGGAAGATCTCACTTCTGATTATTAAGTTTCTCATTTTATTGTCTATCGAAGAAGGCCTAACTTCTGAGAAAGTTTGGTTTATCTGAATCTTATTTTTTGTCGGGCTAGGAGTTTATTATTTTATGATCTGTATACTTTTTGTTCCTAAATAATGTCTTAGAAACAGATATAGATTCTTATCAAATCAGTCAGCTCAAATGGTCGGACAAAGTTTTTATGGTGGTGGGGGCTGCTGACTGGCTGCTTTTCCTCTGCTTAGCAGTAGTTAATTAAGGACGGCTATACTTGAAACTTAGAGGTTTCTAACCTGGCCGTTAAGGTTGAAAATATCAATTCTAAATTGTCAAGAAACGTATCTAATGATTTGTGGTATAAAAACCAATTTTAGTGACGTAATTTCTTTATGAATAACATTAACATGTAGACTTAGTATGGGTGGATTTAATGCAAAATAAGTGGCACCAGCGAAATTTTGTGACTGAAGTGTTTACATTTTCATCATCTTCTAATAACCCAGTTTTTTTACTTCTATATTAATTTTCAAGAATTGTTTTACTTAATGTCATTTCCGACTAGTAATCTAAACTCAGCTTTCACAAAAATGATGTATACATAATCCCGTATTCAAGACCGAATGTTAGTCTCTCTGACGAAAATCCAAATTTCAGGCAGTTATTTCTGCTTTGAAGAGTCAACAAAATTTTCAATTCTCGCAACTGATGTTTCGAAGTTCGTCTTACTGCAGAGAAAAGTACTGAACCGTATTTACAATTACGTTGAGAGACACGTCGATTAACCATCGGATATAAGCAAACGTACCCGTCCCCAGTGACGGGAAAAGTTTAAGCTAGTCTAGCAAAAGTACCCGTCCCCAGTAACAGGAAAAATTTAAGTTAATCTATCAATTTAAATTATTTCATGGACTTTAAAAGGGTTAATTGTGTTATACTCTTGGTTTCACTCAGAGCCAAAGCTCTGAGCTACTTATACCGCCCACCGAGAAAAAGTAATTGTTGAGCTTTTCAGTTATGCCAAGAGCTGTTCAACAATAACATACGGTAAATCTACATTTTTATTTTTTAAGTTAGTCACATTTTGAAATGTGAATGATAGTGTTATTACTCCCTAACAATTTAGTGTATAATATCTTGCTTGTGAAATAAAATTTGGCATCAGCATTATTCAAGCCTGTTCTCTCGTCATTTGAAAAGTGAATATTGAGCTTTGCCTGCGTGCGCAGCTTTTCAAATGCATCGCAGGAAGCGGCCACCGTAAATTGGAGACAGACACCACGATTCGCAATACATATAAGAAGAAACAGATTATTCTTTATCGAAAATACAAAACTGGAATGTTGTGCTTCAGTTTGGTGCAGAGAAACGGATGTTTTACCGTGAATCCCTACACATCTGTTGATTAAGTATTTCTTGCTTAATCAAACCGGTTTTCATTGTTAAATAAAGCTGTTCTTGTAACGTCCATCAAACTGGATATTCCAGTCGATTAAAAACAAACAAACACTGAGTGTGGCTTACGTTAAACATGAAGGTCAAAAAGTCTTCAGTTTGGGAGCGAAAGGAAATGAGGACTTGTATTTTTATCATGGAAGGCTGCCAAAATGGCGGACGGTAAATAAATCGGGTCAGATGTTGCAGGCTCTTACTAGTCAGGCCGGTAGGCTTGTTCTGATCACGAAAGTAAAATATGTGTTTTCCACGGAAAGCCACAGGAATCTGTGACAAAGGTCAATGATTACTGCCACAGAAGTCGTAGGCGGAGAGAAAAATCCCCTTTCTCTCCAAAAAAAAGTTGTACGTTCTTTACCATTTATCAGTTTTAAACACAAAATAAGGAAACTCAGCAAGGCTTTGCATTAAGTCTGATGTAAATTATAAGGTGTCGGCATAAAAATAGCACTAAACTACAACTTTAAGCATGAAGTTTGCTTTTAACTTACCAATACAACACCTAAACTTGTATTATATTCTCTTTAGTGTAAATAAAGTTGGAATTTCGAAAGCTATAATTAACTGTATTTCTTTATCAGTGAAAGTGTGAATTTATATCAAGTTAAAATTAACTGTATCTTTTTATCAGAACAGTGAAATTGTGAATCTATATCAAACTAAAATGAATTGTGGTTTTCAGGCATTAATATTTTTCTGAAATTAGAACCGGTTACATTCCTTGCTGTACGTGTATAGCTGAACTGGAAGCTTTAATTCATTCCGTTCTTGCTGAGAGGAAAAACTAGTTTTTTTAGTAATACGCTACTAAATTTTTTTGTTAAATTTCCAATGAATTAGAAGGAAAATATTGTTGTTAAATATCTGTTATACAGGTAGAAAAGTAACGTTTGTAAGTTATTGTGTGTAATACGCTATGGACAATCTTTGAAAGATACTTCTGTTGTTCTTGTTTGTCCAACGAACAATTTTGTGACAAAAAATAAAACACTATGGTGTTTTCTAGGGGGAGGGAAGATCCTATTACTGGACAGTTTTTGTTTCATTATCACACATTACTTGGTTCCTCTTTGGTATCAGTGTAACGTAATATTTCAGTAACTTGTGTCAGCGTGATGTGGTATTAAACCTGGTAAAACTATATACAATATTTCGAGCTATATATTAAACTCTACAAAGGCTCTACCTTCTAAGCTATATATTAAACTCTACAAAGGCTCTATCTTCTAAGCTATATATTAAACTCTACAAGAGCACTATATTCTTGTTTATTGGTCTTACACAAAATGCAAACACAGAATTTAGAAGATAGAGCCTTTGTAGAGTTTAATATATAGCTTAGAAGATAGAGCCTTTGTAGAGTTTAATATATAGCTTAGAAGATAGAGCCTTTGTAGAGTTTAATATATAGCTTAGAAGATAGAGCCTTTGTAAGTTTAATATATAGCTTAGAAGATAGAGCCTTTGTAGAGTTTAATATATAGCTCAGAAGGTAGAGCCTTTGTAGAGTTTAATATATAGCTTAGAAGATAGAGCCTTTGTAGAGCTTAATATATAGATCAGAAGGTAGAGCCTTTGTGGAGTTTCATATATAGCTTAGAAGATGGAGCCTTTATAGAGTTTAATATATAGCTTAGAAGATAGAGCCTTTATAGAGTTTAATATATAGCTTAGAAGATAGAGCCTTTGTAGAGTTTAATATATAACTTAGAAGACAGAACCTTTGTAGAGATTAATGTATTGCTTAGAAGATAGAGCCTTTGTAGAGTTTAATATATAACTTAGAATGTAGAGTATTTGTAGAGTTTAATATATAGCTTAGAAGATAGAGCCTTTGTAGAGTTTAATATATAGCTTAGAAGATAGAGCCTTTGTAGAGTTTAATATATAGCTCAAAAGGTAGAGCCTTTGTAGAGTTTAATATTTAGCTTAGAAGATAAAGCTTTATGGACTTAAGTATAGGGTTCAGGGGACAGGAATTTTAGAATTAGTATATTGTTCAGAAAGTAGAGAGTTTGTAAAGTTAAGTACAGAGTTTAAGGGTGGGAAGCTTATGGAGTTAAGTATATAGTTTAAGAATGGAGAGTTTATGGAGTTAAGTATGCAGTTTAAGGGTGGAGAGTTTATAAAATTAAGTATACAGTTTAAGGGTGGGAAGTTTATGAAGTTAAGTATACAGTTTAAGGGTGGAAAGTTTATGGAATTAAGTGTACAGTTTAAGGGTGTGGAGTTTATAGAATTAAGTATACAGTTTAAGGGTGGGAAGTTTATAGAATTAAGTGTACAGTTTAAGGGTGGGATGTTTATAGAATTAAGTATATAGTTTAAAGGTGGAGAGTTTATAGAATTAAGTATACAGTTTAAGGGTGGATAGTTTATATAATTAAGTATATAGTTTAAGGGTGGGAAGTTTATAGAATTAAGTATATAGTTTAAAGGTGGATAGTTTATAGAATTAAGCATACGGTTTAAGGGTGGAGCGTTTATAGAATTAAGTATATAGTTTAAAGGTGGATAGTTTATAGAATTAAGTATACAGTTTAAGGGTGGGAAGTTTATAGAATTAAGTATACAGTTTAAGGGTGGGAAGTGTATAGAATTAAGTATACAGTTTAAGAGTGGGAACTTATGGAGGTAAGTATATAGTTTAAGGGTGAATAGTTTATAGAATTAAGTATACAGTTTAAAGGTGGATAGTTTATAGAATTAAGCATACGGTTTAAGGGTGGAGAGTTTATAGAATTAAGTATATAGTTTAAAGGTGGGAAGTTTATAGAATTAAGTATACAGTTTAAGGGTGGGAAGTTTATAGAATTAAGTATACAGTTTAAGAGTGGGAACTTATGGAGGTAAGTATATAGTTTAAAGGTGTGGAGTTTATGGATTGTTCAATCCTTACTAATGACATATAATTCTTCTCTGTTTGTTATGGAAAACTGTTGCTTCGTTTTTTGTGCTCACAACAGTTTCGTGTTTTAAGTTTGTCAGGAAACTAGCAAGGATGGGCTCGTCGCAGTTATTGACTCTGGTGGTATCCGTGGAAACGTGGAGTTTCTTCATGCTAACGACTCCGAGAAAGGTGTGTTGATCCGGGTTAACCTACGCGGTGGACGTTACAGTGAGCGGTTCCGGTGGAAGATCCATGAGCTACCTGCCTTTTCTGCTTCCAAGGATCCGTGCAAGGAAAACAAACTTGGAAAAGTGTGAGTCTTTGTTTGTCTCTCTGTAGGATTCTGTATTGAATGATTGGATATTTTAAATAGCAAAACTAAACTGAAATAATTGTATAAAATACACCAACTTTAACAAGTGAACAGTTATTTCTTACTTACAAAGTACACTAATACTTCTGTATACGTGTTTCAAATCTTAAATCTATTCGAATTCAAATGGTATCATATACAGCCCCAACCTTCAAATACTTAACTTTTTATTAACCCTAGTAAGATTTCTATTCTGCTACAGCTGTGCATTGCATTTCAAAATCGTAATTTATTTTATCAATAATTTTTAATAGCTTCATATTTGAGAACTGCTTAATTTGTAAACCCTTCAGAATTAGGACTTAAAATGTACATATATAGATATATATATACATATTATAGGGTTATAAAGTTTTTATCGTTTTATACATACGTACAATCATACGGCGGGAATCAAACCCTGTATTTTAGCGTTATCATCCGATAAGCCACCGGGAAGCAAGGGTTGAAAATATTTCTACAGATATAAATATTAATTACTTCTTTATGTACATCTTTCTTATATACTTAGCATCTTACTTACTGTATAAATGTTCAGTTCACATACTTAGAGGAGAATCAGTAAGAATATGAAGAATGTATTAGATGTACTTTCCGTAGTGTCCTCGCAACTGTTCTGTTCCAATAGTAAATAAATCGAAAATTAAGACTAACAAATATTTATATTTCTTGCTTTGGAAGTTCATATGTCATACTGTGTTGTAACGTACAGAGTGTATAATTCTTCTCGTGATTCATGGAATGTGCACGTTTTACAGTACAAATTGTAACGTCATTTTAGTGTCTTCTGACAACACATTACTGTACTGTAGTGCGAGTGGTTAAAACAAATGACCCCTCGAGGCGGCCTTCGGCTCCTTTTGGGGAAACAAGTAAAAAGTTTATAAAAATACTTTTCAAAAACAGCAAGAGTTGCATAAAAAAAAGAAAAATGTGTTAAAAAGTGAAAATGTGGTGTTAACCTTGAATAATGTGAAAATGTGGTGTTAGCCTTGAATAATGTGAAAATGTGGTGTTGATCTTTAAGAAAGTGAAAATGTGGGATAACCCTGTAAAAAAAGTGAAAATGTGGTTGATAACACTGTAAAAAATGAAAATGTGGTGTTAACCCTGTAAAAAATTGAAAAAAAAATGTAGTATTAACTCTGTAAAAAGTGAAAATGTGGTCTTAACCCAGTAAAAAGTGAAAATGTGGTGATAACCCTTGTAAAAAGTAGAAAGGTGGTGTTAACCCTGTAAAAAGTGAAAAATGTGGTGATAACCCCTGTAAAAAAGTGAAAATGTGGTGATAACCCAGTAAAAAGTTAAAATGTGGTGATAACCCCTGTAAAAAGTGGAAATGTGGTGTTAACCCTGTAAAAAGTGAAAATGTTGTGTTAACC